CTTTTTAAAAGAGGTGATTTAGCTCCCAAACTACCCATATAGGTCACACTGATGCTCTGATTGTACAATCTCTTGCTCAGTGGGGGAGATAAAGGAGAAAAAAACTTTTTATTCATTCTAGACTTGCAATCGATGGGACTTGTCTGTGAAGTGGATCAATAATGCCTCTCTTTGAAATCATCAATCACGTCAGTGGTGAATTTAAAAAGCGTAATTAGGAACAGCGTCCTTAAACATCCTGTATTGACGTCTTCTTTGGTATGGAGAAAGACACCATTCTGCATCATTAACTTTGTATTATTGCGTGATGGAGCCTGCTGCTGCTACTTCCCCACCTGCTGAACTCAGAGCGCTGTGTGTGATTGGGCTTTCAGACCAAATTCTCCCCTCTTTCACTTGCTGATGGAGGAAGTGAAGCTTGCAGGCCTAAATTGGCTGGAGTATTGTAATAAGCCCGGTCCGTACAGGAACCCAGGCCACAGAGTTATCATTCACAGTGCCGCATATCAGAAATGTTTGTGGGGTTGAACACGTGTAATTTTCTCTCTCTCTAATCATCTTGTTTGATTACTTTTGTGCAGGTTCTAACCAGACATGCCGTTACAAGGCCGCGAGCACACATTCTCCAGCACTCCCATAACTTGCCACAGTGTTCAGTGTTGTCCATCTGTCTCTCTCTGGTAATAAAACGGTGTCAATACTGTGGAGAGGGCAGGTGGGTGGTTGTAATGGAGTAATTTATTTTAGTTGTCACAGAAATATAAGTGTTTGATTAGGGAGCTATACACATCAGGCTGCACAAATAGAACCTTTCATCAAATCACAGAGCATGTGACACTATTGACCGTGGACTCTTCTCACTGGGTTTTATCTTCCACAACAAGATTCATAACACAATGGGTGAAGGGCACAATGATGCAAAATGCAACAGTAATAAAAAGCTAAAGGCAAATCTTGTGCCAATGTACCAGATCAGAGTTAGAATCAGGAATACGTTATTGATCCCCAGGGGGAGATAAAGAGACACCTTACAGTTGCTCATCTATTTAACTATGGAGGAATTATAGAAAACAGAAAATGGAAAATAAGAAGTATGTTAAATTATAATGAGCAGCAACATGGTGCAGTGGTTAGCATTGTAGCCTCACAGCAAGAGGTTAGAACCCGGGGTGGATGAGCCCGTCTGTTTGCATGTTCTCCCTGTGTCACCGTGGGTTTTCTCCAAGTACTCCGGCTTCCCCCCACAGTCCAAAGACATGCAAGTTAATTGGTGACTCTAAATTGCCCCAAGTGTGAATGGCTGTCTGACTCTATGTGTCAGCCCTGTGATAGTCTGGCAACCTGTCCAGGGTGTACCCCGCCCAGTGAACAACACTGATCAGTGCATTGTTCTGCTGGGAAACCTTTGGTTCTGGCATTCATGTGGATACCACCTGACATGTTCCACCCACTCAAACACCGTTGCAGACCAAGTACCCTCCCTCATGGCAACAGTACTCCCCAGTGGCAGTGGCCCCCCAGCAGGATAATGCACCATGCCACACCGCAGACATCGCTCAGGAATGATCCGAGGAACATGACAAAGAGCCCAAGGCATCAACCTGGCCTCCAAATTCCACCAGATCCCCATCTGATCAAACATCTGTGGGACATGCTGGTACCCCACCTCACAACCTACTGGATTAAATGGATCTGCCGCCAATGCACTGGTGCCAGACACCGCAGGACACGCACATCATATTGGTTATTAAAAAAATCCCATAAAAATAAGACAATCGCAACTGTTTCATCTTTCAGTGAAAGAGTATCCAATTTTCAACCGCTCCTGAAAGCAGTGGCCCTCGCTATTGAAGTTACGCTTCTTTGCTGTGGCCGTGTCTGCTAGTTAGCAGAATATGTCTGCTGTTAGGTGAACATGCACATGAGAGAAGTTTTTCTTGTAGGCTTTCTTTCAGAGATCCAATTCTAACAGAAATCCATTCATTTTAACCCAAACCATGACTTTTTTCCTAAACTTAACCAAGGGATCCCTCAAGAAAAATGTCTCCCAACTGCGGTCAGCGTTTGTTTGCCTGTTTATTGTCTAAAAACCCAAGCTGACACAGGAAGAACAGGCAAACTCCTCCGTACTTTGAGAAGTGCAACTAACATGTTAACATTTATTTTAAAAGTCTGGTTTTAGTCGGACTAACACCATAAATTAATTTTCTCTAATGTCATGTTAATGTTAAACTGAGTTTCCTCGGCTTCTTCACCTGCCCTGTTTGGTTTGGTTCAATTTAACTCAAGTTTGTTTGCCCCTGAAGTGCGGTTTGTTTGGGCAGGTGTGAACACAGCAATCACACTTGGGTGTGCACTAAAACAACCAAGTGGTCTTGGTTGTTTGTGGTGAGAACGTGTTCCGACCTCGAACTGAACCAACTGCAGTCACATGACACATTGTTTGGGTTAAACATGAGCATGTTACAGTCCTGGAGGATTATTAATGTGCACCTCCTCCTGTACTGCCTTAATATGCACATTCAGCAAATCAAATGCATCAAAACATTGTTTTCTAGTTGGAGCCGCGCCTCGTTTTCAAACTGTATGGTTTGACTAAAATGAACAATGACAGCAATATAGTCCACGATGAGCAGCGCTAAAATCAACCTGCGTAGTTGTCCCTCCATTGTGACATTAGAAAGTGTCACATTTATCTTGCAAGTGTACTCTTCCTCCAGGTTTTGTTTACTTCCTGGATTGTTCCCTCATGAAATTCTGACCAATCAAAAGCAGCTTCCTTGTGCAAGGCATTTTATCTGGTCTGCTTGTACATGCTGCCGTGAGAACATGCACCAACTCTAGGCAATTATGCAACTTAGTAACAAACTTAGTCCCTGATTCAGACCAAAGCAAGACAACTCTAGGTCTGAAAGCTCCTCCTCCACAACTCAAGCCTCTCACCCAAATGTGGTCACTAATGGCTCCAAAAAAACAAGATGGCGAAATGCTAAATTCAAGGTTTCAAAATGGCAGGCCACAAACCAATGGGCAACATCGCAGTAGCTGCATCCATTATTTTTGCAGTCTATGACCAGAGGCAGCAAAGCTTGTGTGCTACGGCTGTATGTGTTCTGTGCTGCTGTTCCTTTTCCCTCCATTGTAGATCTGCCCAGGTGTGCTGCATTACTTAATGAGGTGCATTGCACCTGGCATGGAGGAGGTGCTTAAGAGCTCCTGTGCCAGCAGCAAAGGAGAGAGGCCTCTGGTGGGGGGGGGGGACGACTACTGGTCCTGCTGCCTCTCAGCATGGGATCTTTGTTGTCTTGTTTCCTTGTTGTTGTTTTTGTTTACTAATCCAATGGATTTGAGTGTTTTAAGGTGTCTTACGTGGTTATTTTGGGTCAGTGGTGAAGTTTTGTTCGTCCCATAGGGCCGACAAAGGATGGCGTCTTAACTGAGAGGGTTAATGCAGTATGTATGATCATGATTGATGGTGCCCTGAGCACAGCACGTGATGTGCTTGTACTTGCAGCACTGTATAAACTAGTCGTGTAAGATATATCATATATATCATAATGTATAGTTTAGTACAGTCATATAACATAGAATTGAACATATTATCAGATATAATATGGTGTCATACTGAATAGTATAATATATTACAAGAATATACCAACAGTTTGGAGATATATATCCAGTCCAGCACTTTTAGGTATTTTATCTCTATATATTTTTGATATTGAACAGCTAACACTATAATTTGACCTGTGATTTCAATTATTCCACCTTCCATTTGGCATTCGTCCTACAATTATTGAGACGTCCAATTAAATGTCCCACTCACTGTCCCTTTAAACCACTCGGCTGTCCTGCGCAGTCTGGGACGGCCCCGCTTACTGCGCATGCGCCGGAAGTTGCTGCCGCAGACAGCAGCAGCAGCAGTGATTCGGCAGCGCAGGGCAACGGGAGAAAATCTGTCCGTTTTAAACCATGGCGACGCACTAAACGATGCCTTTCGCAGAGGTAAACGGAGAGTAAGTAGCTCTGTCTTGATAACAACGCCCGCTGCCCGATACCGTGTGTGACATCCTCTCAGAAATGTGGCGTAAATATGAGGAAAGCTTGAGGAGGCAACAATGGGACTATGTATGTTTCCGACTGGATGGCTAGGTTAGCTAGCCTGCCAGGAGCCTGGGCAGTCAGCTGGCACACTCACTGTACACTATTATGATGATGATGACTACAGGTGTGTCGTTGCGAAGGGGGATTTTGTGCAGGTTGTTGGCTGGTGGCAGTGTGTGCATGCTCTGCAGGTGTGTTATTTTGTATTTTGACAGCGGGTATTGTGTGTATCTGAGAGAAATGTGCAGAAACATGCAGGTTTGGAGCTACTGTACTGGTCCACTGTATTGTCTGTATATCTAGTGGAAATCTGCACTGCTGAAATGTCATTTTTACGTCTAAATATATTTATTTAAGCACCAATTCTTGCGCAAAGCTGCTGATTAAACCTGGGCTTGTGTTGTTGAGCTGTTTTTGCATTATTACAACAACCAGTGAGGATTAAGCAGCCTGCCAAACCATCATCATGCTTATATCTTCATCATGCATGATATTTCTGTAATGATAAGTTGCTCTACTGGTAGAAACCAGCAGCGGGTGAAGTTGGAAGTGTGCTCATCTCATGCTGTTGAAAGTATAAAGTTGTCTCCCACTGCTTGTGTCCGATACTCATTAGTACATGCATGCGAATATCCAAATTTAGTCTTCACACTGTGATACAGATGTGGTGCACGCTCCCTCCTCGCCAGCAGCGCGTCTGCAAATAGCACCGGCAGAGGAAAAGTATTTCCACCTGCAAAGGCAAGTGTTAAAGGTGATAACAAAAGGTTGACGTCACCGGGCTCGTCCTGATCCTGCCGCACAACCTCGACCACTGAGGAGGAGGAGTGCAGGAGGAGTAGTTTCAGAGGAGGAGAGCAGCTTTTTTATGTTGCCATGATGATTCGTGTCTGGAAGGAAAGAGGTTTATCTCTGATCAGATTTCGGGTAACCTAAGGGCACACTTAACTAATGGGATCCTATCGATGTTTCTCCCCCCTCCGAGCCTGATCTTTACACGGCGGAATGTTAATGTTGCCACAGCCTGTCCGTGTTGTCTTTGGCTGCTCTGGCTTTTATTGTTATAGTCGGTCTATAATGTCATGGAGCTTTGACGGATATGATTATAAAACACCCGCAGTAAAGCAACACTCCTGTGACTGACTGGACTATGGAAGTGATCGGGTTTACTCTGCTGTAGATGGTAAGATGATAAAACTGGAATGTCGAGAGATAAAAACTGTTTGCATGACGAGCCTGAAGTTTAATAAATCTGTTATCTTTACCATAACAGAGGTGAGACTGTAATGACAGCAGGGAGGATGTGCTCAGTGATATCCTGACTCAAACAACAGCCTGGCATTACTCCCCCAAAAGTGCAGTTTTGCAATGTAGCTTTCTTCCTCTTACATTTTCCAAAGAGCAGATAATTAAATTTCAGCAGACCTTGTTGTCTGGGAAACTCGGGCCCCTAGACTCCCTGCAATTATCGCGAACCCTTTTTGCATTTGGGTGCTATGTTTCCCAGCACAATGAAGATTAATTAGGTCTTAAAAACAAATGACTGTACGGCCTCTCCCCATCTGCAAAACGCAGCTCGACTCTAATGACAGCAATCTGACAGTTACGCAGAAGGATGAGAGTAAAATGCTGCAAAGATACTAAGAGATATCGTGATGCAAAGGCTAAGAGTACATAGAAACAGAAAGCCATTATGGTCATTGTACAGTATACAACAAAATGAGGAAATTAGGATCAGTGCAATAAAAACACACATAACAAAAACTGCTTCAACAAATACCCACAGCCAACAGCACAGGTTCTAAAATGATAAGTAAATTAACTAAACTGCACTAAAAAGAAAGTATTTATTGCACTAGAATAAATGTATTAATTGCACTAGAATAACAGTATTTATAACACGTGAATTAATGTAACTATTGCTCATGATCTGGTAGGTTTGCACTCGAAAGACAGTCATTATCAACATATATACTATCTTAAAAATATAGAGATTTTTAAACTAGTTTACATGTTTCACTAAAATTGAATTGTCACTTTGATTCCTGTGTGTGCTTTTGAATGTATTAACTTCTAAAAATATCTGTACCACTTTAATCAAAGGGTAAATTGTTATTTTTCAACCTGGACCCTCTTATTCCACATTTTTTATGTCTAAGTGACTCATGGGAACAATAATTTTGAAACTGGTCCAGTATTGAGAGAGACCGCTGCAGCCACAGCTGCTAAACAGGCTGCAATGCAACCACTTGGAGCATGTTTTTACGGTCGATTTATGTCCTTGCGCCACTGACAGGCTCAGATTGTCTGGCAACATTAACCTTTTGGGTGGTTTGTTTGTTGTGGTGACCAAGACTGGTTCAAGGAGAAGTCTCGTTCTGTAATCTTGTGCGGGGTGACTTCTTGGAGGAAAAACAACAGTGGAAATGTTGGCGTTGGATGAAGGAGTGCGGGTAAGAGTTTGTTGTGTTGGAGTACAGAAGCATCTCTTAGGGTTTCAGATTTCAGAACAAGACTTCACCTTGAACAAGACTTGGTTACACACATGAACAAACAAAGTGGACCAGCGAAAGGTAAAAGCGAACAAGTTGGTGATTGTTGGAATTGTGCAAAGACAAGATGGTTTTTGTGAGTTTTATTTTGTGTCTGCCGACTTCGAACAAAGTGTCTATTACGATGATAATATCACTGTTTGTTTAAATGGAGTCTGGTGGGTTTGGTGATTGAGATTTTGGGGCTGTGTCTGGTTAAACAAAAAGGATCTTACTCCTTAACAGAATGAACTATCACTGTAGGGATCCTTTCCATAATGATATCAGACACTTAAAATAACAATCTGAGCCTGTCAGTGACAAAAAAATGAGCACTTTAGTGGATGTACATTGACGGTGGACAGTGGTTACATTGCAGCCTGTTTCACCACTGCAGCTGCTCTCTCCTTACACTGGACCAATTTTAAAAATTGTTGTCTTTATTGGTCACATAGACACAAAAACGTGATAAAATGTGTTCCAGGTTCCAAAAACCAAACTTACCCCTTACCTGTTATTTTATATAAAGTTTATTCTGTATTGTTGGGTTACAATGCTTCTGTGGCATTATTTTCAAATTTTATGCAGCTCTTTTTAATACAGGCCAAAGAAAAAGCTCTTATTACTATTCAGTGAAGACACATTGGGTCAGTAGGATTACTGAGATGCAGATCTGGTGTGATGTACAGAACTGGTACAAATCATTTGCCGTAGCCACGTGAGTCAAAAACAAATGCCTACATGCCAAAAACAAAAGTTTCCCTTTAAGTCTGAGGATGATTTGTGTGTTTGCTCTCACTTTTAACGGCAGCAGATAAGGCTGAATGTCAGGAGCACCTGGTTCATTTGTTCATGTCGCGCCGGTCAGCAGCTTTGTAGAAAATTACAGCCCTCCGCCAAATTGAAACACCACTTGAATGCATGTGTTAATTAGATCTCTGCGTGGCTTTTCAAAGTGTCTCTCCTCCTCAGCCCGTGAGTCATGTGCTGACTCTTTGACCTGTCACCCTGCAAACCCAGAGTCTTTGCTGAGGGCGAACTGACAAGAAAGCAAGTTGTTTTTTTCCAGCCGACCACTGACAAATATATTGGGACTTATTGATTTACATTGTGGGCAGAGGAGGGTAATTTCCTCTAAAATACTTGCGTAGCATCTTGGCTGCTGTAGCCTCCCCGTCTGCAGCTGCCTGTAGACGAGGTTAAACTATTGCAGAAAAAAAATATTGCAGAGAATATACACACCTACGTATTTAAGCTTAGTTGGGTGGACGCTTTAGAGTAGTGAGTAGAGTTCAGTGTGAATATAAAATGCACACCCCCACAGTTTTCTAGATACTAACCTCACTGTATCAAACTTTCTTCTTGTAAGAGCAGATATTAGGGAGTGATGATCAATCATCCGGAGCACCTTACACAGTCCCGGATGTTTCGTGTTGCGGTCCATGTGACGGCCAAACGATCCCAACATTAGGCTAGTCTCAGACGGAACTAATAAGAGCATAACATCAAAGCTTTATTTCTTGGAGACTTCAGAGCAAGACTATGAATAACAGATCACAAGGTACAAAGAGTGAACCACAGAGCAGATTTTATGTTTCAGCTGTTGTTGGGATTCACAGGGAGCTCATTAAAATACATTGATTAGTAACAGTCCCAATTCTGTGATTGTTGACTGTGAAATGGCTCAACTAACCCAGCTTTTTTTTGATGCGATGATTTTCAGTGCTGGAATGAGCCACTTGGCTGATGCTCGTTTTGGTTTATTCAAAGCCAGCCATTTGATGTAGCGTTTTAGAGACGGTACTTGAATTGGAAATGTGTAACAGTGTGCTCCTCTCGCTGCGATACATTTGTTCCTTTCATATTCCAGCGGGGGCCTGTGTATGTTAAATCTCTTGCAGGTGTTGTCTGTGAATTTTATGTGCAAGGCATATTTTTATTTTCCTCACCCCGGTAGTTTTAGATGAGCAGCATTTGTGGATCCATTTGCTAAATGAGGCTGACCCCCATGTCCCAGACTGCAGGGCAGAGATTTCCCAGGTACCAGTGATTTTACAGCCGGCTCCACCTTTCAGTCCTCCAGCGACCGGGGCAGCTGTCAGCCCATACTCAGCCACCCACCACTTGGAGGGACTCTCTGTGAGGCCACCCAGTGTCTTCACAGCTGTATGAAGCCCCCTTTCCACTGCACAAAAATCCACTAACACCCGCTAACATCTGGCTTTTTAATGTAATGGGACAACTACAATCTGCATTCACGGGGGTCAAATGACTCTGCCGGGGTAATTATCTGCTCCATCTCCGATCAGCTTCAATCGGCAGTGATGGAAATGCAACACCCGAGGGGACGCGCTAATTTTAGCCCATTTACTGGCGAGATGCAATGACAGGCGGCCACAAAACACCATCTGACTCCGCCCAAGCAGCACCTGAACATGGCTTCAAATTAGTCAGCACCAAGTTTGAAAGAGAGATGGAATAAGTAACAGATATTAAAAAGATGTAACCACTGTAATGTTTTCATTGACCTCCATGCTGCTTTCTACTGTTAACTAACCCAGGGCATGTTCAGTGTAAAAATGGTGGGCATTGTTTTGGTGTTGGGGTTTTTGACATGTTTCTTTGAAACGGTGTGCAACGGGCTTTGAGGTACGTTTTCTATCATTTGTTGGGGCTGTCAGACGTGTGACCCAATCAGCAGCGATGGATATATATAAACCAAATTTTGGTGGCTCTTTACTTATTGTACGTACAGTTTTTGTTTTTATTCATTGAATTGAATTAAACCATGCCGTATTAAAAGGCAATGCCCATTCGCACCATTGTTTTCCTTAAAATTAACATTTTGTAAGGGCAGAACGTAGCCCTCTTTTCCTGACGTTGAATGCGACACACTAGAAAAAGAAACAAACACACAGAAAGGCACACTCTTGTACCCCTCTGCTGCAGATGTGTGTACATGGCTCAGTCTGTTGGCAATGGGAAAGGGGTCTATTGCTTTTTGTTAGCAGGTTTTCCTGTGTTGCACGCGCTGATTTTGGTGGAAAAGGTATGAGTCTGTTTTCAGACAGAGCACGAATGTTTGGAAGCACTTGTGTGAAAGTCAGGAGACCCAGTGTGAGAGGGTCAAACGCAGGTCAGGCTGGGAGTAAAAAACTGCGGCCACATGATACATCCAGATCAGGTGTTTGGGACATCACGGGCAACTTCTGGATACCTCTGAGAACAAGGGACCGACCTGCAGGGCTCAGGCTGCGGGACAGCTGTTACATGGAATTTAGCGGTTGTTTTATGTTGTGCCAAATGACTACAAGCAATAGGCTTGATTCGAGGACCCACTTTGTTTGCTACATTTTTGTGTTCCTTTTTATTTTTTTGCAGGGATTTGCATGCTAGCTGGCAGGTCCAATTAGGTCAAAAAAGCCCTGCTCTTGCTGGGTAGTTTGCGTAATCAGCAAACCCGAGGCTTCAAGCCAGGGAGTGCTGCAACCTGACGTTACAAACACCAAGACCAAAGGGCTTTCTGAGAATTGTTGTGTCTTCAGCTGGAGGGCAATCGGAGGAAGAATCTAAGTCTCCCTGGGTGACAGTCACTGCAAAAACAGCAGCAGGAGGAACAAGGCTTGGTTTAGGACAGCGTCTGTCTGATCAG